CTCCCAGAGTCCACAAGTCTGTTCTATACATCTGAGTCTCTTTTTCTGTTTTGCATATAGGGTTATCGTTACCATCTTTCTAAATTCCATATATATGTGTTAGTATACTGTAATGGTCTTTATCTTTCTGGCTTACTTCGCTCGACTTGGATTTTATGTTTGGTTTATGCGTTCTGTAGATTGATTGCAAAACTGCCTTCACTTCTACAATGCTTTCTATACATACATCCTTTTCATGTTTCCTCACAGTTCATCTCATCAAGAGATTGAGTTAATTTTCTCGTCTCCTTGATTATGGGATGGCCTTGTGTTTACTCTGGCCAGCAGAATATGGTAGAAGTGGCAATTCTGATCCTAGAGACCTTGTGTCCTTCTGCTGTCTCTCAGATCTCTGTCACCATGAGAACAAACTTGGCTTACCTTGCTGGAAGAGGAGAGAACACGTTAAGGAGAACTGATTCCCATTCAAAGTCATGGCAGACCATCCTAAAGGCAGCCAGACTCAAAACATGTGAGTGTGTCACCCAGATTAGCTGAGCTACCAACCCAGCCCACACTTGACTGCAGACCCACTCAGGAGCTCATCTGAGAGCAGAGGAACCACCCAGATTCCCTGCAGTTTTGCGAGCAATAATATAAGTGGCTATTGGTTTAAGTCTCAGAGTTTTGGAATGTTTTGTTGCACAGTGATAGCTAACTGGCCATTTTTGCCCTCACTTTCCCACTGTGGTCAGAGAATTACTGTCCAGTTTTACAAGTAAAATTTGCTCTCATGTAAGGTATTTTTGCTTCCCTGGTGTCTCAGTGGTAGAGTCTGCCTGCCAATGCAGGAGACACAGGAGATGTGGGTTCGATCCCTGGGTCAGGAAGATCCCCTGGAGGAGGAAATGCAACCCACTCCAGTATTCTTGCCTGGAAAATCCCATGGACAGAGGAGCCTGGCAGCTACATTCCATGGAGTCACAAAAGAGTCAGACATGACTTAGTGACTAAACAACAGTAGAGGTATTTTTAAAAACACGAATTACAAATATCTGATGTTAAGAGAGAGTTCACTTTTGGAAGGGTTTAATATGCTAAATTCTTTCTTCAGGTTTTGTCATCTTCACAATTCATTTCCTAGTTTTCTCATTAATATCCAAGTTATAAGGATGATTAACCTTCAATAAGCTGTGCAGTAACATTGAACAAATTGTAGAGGATACAGCTTAAGCAGATATTACATATACTGCTGGTGTGACTAAAGACTGTATGCCAAGTCTTGTGCTTATCAGCATGAATCTTGATTCCAGATTTTCTCTCCTGAATTGGTGCCTTGGGATCTTCTGTCATGGGACCGTGTGTGCAACAGCTGAGCCATGGTGGCTGCTCTTACCGTGATGATTTTGCTCTGCTTTATGGCCAACAGCTCTGTTTTCAGGGAATATAGAGCGTCCTAGTCACCAGGGTGCATATCCTTTATCTGCGCATCTCAGGAGGCTCAAATTAGCATGGGCTTCCTCGGAGAGAACTCCTTTTAACCCCATCCTTTCTTTCATGGTTCCCAATAATCTGAAGTGGTTTTTTATTTATTTCTATAATTTTACTGTTTAAAAAAGGTTTTTTTGGCTGTTCTTGGTCTTTGTCGGTACGTGAGGGCTTTTCTTTAGTTGTGACAAGTGGGGGCTGCTCTCCAGTTGCGGTGCTCAGACTTCTCATTGTGGTGGCTTCTCTTGTTACAGAGCATGGGCTCTAGAGCGTGAGCTTAATATTTGTGGCTCCCAGGGTTAGTTACTCTGCAGCATGTGGGATCCTTTCAGATCAGGGATCAAACTCGTGTCTCCTGCATTGACAGACGGATTCTTTACCACAGAGTCACCAGGGAAGCCTGGCTTTTTATTCCTATTTTTAAATTTTCCTATATTATGTTTTTAGACTTTTATTTTCATGTGGACCATTTGTTTTTTTTAGTCTTTATCGAATTTATTACAATATTGCTACTGTTTTATGTTTTGGTGTTTTGGCCATGAGGCATGTGGAATCTTAGTTCCCCGATCAGGGATCAAACCCATAACTCCTGTACTGGAAGGTGAAGTCTTTACTACTGAACCTCCAGGGAAGTCTCTGAAGTGGCTTTTAAAATTGATGTCCTAAAACTTCCTTTTCCCTGTTTAGTCCAGATTACCTGGCCCCCCTACTGCCGTGAGTTGCAGTCACATGAGAGCAAGATATTAGCCCTCAGCTCTGCATAAGCCCCGATGTCTTTCGGCAAGATTGACATCACTTTGGATACCACCTGGCTGCATTTTAGACAGCAAGAGGCACTTGAACAAACATCTGTTTTAGGGACAGATGTCTGCATAATCTTGGGTTTTCAGTTTCGAATATACTTAAAAAAGTATTTTTTAAATACATTTATTTTTTTATTAGGGAGAAAGAAAGCATTAGTCACTCAGTCGTGTCTGCCTCTTTGCAACCCTGTGGACTGTAGCCCATCAGGCTCCTCTGTCCATGGGATTCTCCAGGCAAGAATACTGGAGTGGGTGGCCATTTCCTTCTCCAGGGGATCTTCCTGACCCAGGGATTGAACCCAGTCTCCCACATTGCAGGCAGATTCTTTACCATCTGAGCCATAAGGGAAAGATAGTTTATTAGGGAAACTAGCCTTATTTTTTTAAATGTTTTAATTTAAAAAGTGACACATGCTCATTATTTAATAGTTACACAATATAGGAAAGGATAAATAAAAATAAGAATTATCTGTAGTTCTATAAGTAATTTTTTGTATGTATTCCATATGTATTTATATGGTATTTTGTTACAAAAGTTTTAAGTTTCCACTTTTTCTCTCTTCTATTAATGATTCACATTAAATTTGTTAGCATCAACTTTGTTTTATCTTTTAAAACCACATGAGTTATTTGCATTATAACATATCATAATTTGATATGTTTTAGTTAGTGCTTAATATACATACATTACTTAGGTTCTTAATGTAATATATATGTATGGTTGCTTAAAACTGAAAACATTAACTCTCGTTTACTCCACACTTTGCCTATGTTTTATTGACGTCACCAAATCTGGTTCTCTCTTGAGGGTAAAGACAGAATGTATACACCAGTCCATATGTATTTGTAGAGGAGAAAGGAGCAGAGTAGCAGTCTACTCCAGAACAGGTGCTTTGAGAAAGAGCACCTACTTCAGTCAATATAATCATCATTAGGTGTATTTTATCACAAGTAAATGACTTTACCTTGGTGTCCATTCCTACTCTCTTTTTCTTTCCCAGCGCTGTTGACTCTGAGAGGGGCTGACCATGCACTAGGCCAAGGATGAGTGAGAGGGTGCCACATACTGTTCTATGAAAAGTAGCTGATGAAAATAAAGCTACATTTGCTACTTTTAAAAAGTCTGTAAGTCTATAATTTCATACAAGTAAGCGTTTTGATTTACTTTGCCCACTAAGTTTCACTTTGTGCTTTGAAATATTAGCAACTCATAGCTGTTCACAACTGTTATCTGGCTTACTCCCCTTGGGTATAATCCAGGCACCTCAGCCCCGCAGGCATCCATCCCTGCATGGTCACCTCCACTCAGCAGACTCCTTGTGGAGTGTTTCCTCTCTTGATGAATCGTTCCCTTAGCCAACTCAGCATATAGCCTGGAACGCTAATGATCATCCTCTAGTCCTCCACGGCTCCTCTCTCACTTGCTCGTATTCCATTGGTAACCATGGTCTGTAGATGCTACTTTTATGCTTCTCTTGCAGCTATGCCATCAGATCCATCGCCTATACCATAGTGCATGCATTCGTTGCTTCTCTGAGGACTGCCGGAAGTGCCTTCTTAATGCTTCCCCTGTTTCTGATCTCACCATGCCTCACTCATCCAGAACAGCTGCCAAGGAAGCCCTCTAACATGTAAGTCTGTTTATGGACACTAACATACAGCTCTAGAATTTGGGATAAAGTCAAATTCCTTTGCTTAGTGCAGAAAGGCCTTTGTATCTGACTTGTCTCCTTTTCTGACCTCATTTCCCACCACTTACCCACGGTTATCCCTTTCTCCAGTTGTAAAAAAAAAAGTTCCCTCCTCCATGTCTTCTTATACACATTTCTCTCTGCTAGATATTTCTTTACTTGTTTTCTCCCCATCCACTTTTCCTTGTCTTTTCTTTTTTAAATTACATTCTTCAAGCTTCAACATAAACATCGCTTCTTTCTAAAACCTTTCCCCAACCAAGTGCATGATTTTGATGTTTCTACACTGTGATTACTATACCTTTTGTATGATTACATCATCTTATCACACTGTATTTTCATTGTTTGTTTACATGCATTTCCAGTCCACTAGACTAGTGGGTCTCAAAGTGTGATCCTCTGACCAGTAACATCAGCTTTGCTTTGGAATTTGTTAGAAATGCAAGTTTTCAGTCATCACCCAAGATCAGAAACTCCATGGGTGAGCCCAGCAATCTGTGTTGGGGAAAATAATTTAATATCTTATGATAGGGGAAGACTGGCTGGCCATAGTAGCATGCTGAGAAACATGGAAATTATTTAGAAGATGCATGACTACTGACAAATACTGTCTTCCATGCCAACTTTTCTTAAAGTGACTGGCAACCTCAAGGAAGTCCAGAGTGCCACAAAGCATCTCAACACTTGTTTTAATTTGCAGCTATAACAAACTACCACAAATTTTCTGGCTTTAAACAACAAAGTCTGAATTCCTGCTGGAGGCACCAGAGGAGAATCCATTTCCTCAGTTTTTCTAGATTTCAAAGCTACATGCATTCCTTGGCTTGTAACCTCTTCCTCCATCTTCAAAGCTAGAAATGGCTGACTAAATCTTCTTGATGATGCCATCTCTCTGCTTCTAATCTTCTGCCTTCCACTTTTCTTTTTTTTTATATTGTATTTTTTTTACTTAATACATTCAGAGACTTATATAAATTAGCTATTTATTAAAAATGTTACTCTCAACTGTGTTAACTCAAGTGTTTCAAGAGAATACTGTATATATATTCAGAAGCTATCCAAAGCTTTAGTAACAAATCAACTTAACCTTTTTCGGAAATAATTTCTACTAAAGATTCATAATTAGCATAATCCTTCAATGACTGTACAAGTTCATCCAGTAGGTACTCTCCTTGCATAAAAGTGTCAAGATCATGAAGTGACTTGTTTATTCTGTGATATGTGACCCGGTTCTGTGGAAAATTATATGTTCTTATTTTCTCTGACCTTCCTTTTGTGCCAATCTGAATCTTCCTAGCATTGTATTGTTTACTTGTTTCTTCTTCTAGCTGCAGGCTGTACAGTTTTGCACGTAACTTTCTCATAGCGATCTCTTTATTTTTCAGTTGAGATCTTTCTTGTTGGCATTCGGAAACAATACCCGTTGGGAGATGAACGATCTGGACAGCACTGTCCATGGTGTTCACATGCTGCCCCCCGCCCCCGGCTCCACTGGCTCGCTTAGTATCAATCCTCAAATCCTTAGGATTAATCACCAGGTTAATCTCGGTGGGCTGGGGTAAGATGGCTACAGTCATGGTGCTGGCGTGGATGCAGCCTTGCTTCTCTGTCCTGGGCACTCTCTGGACTCCGTGCACACCTCCTTCAAACTTCACGTGCTTATAGGCTTCTGAACCCTCAATGCTGGCGGTTCCATGTCTAAGGCCACCTATTTCACTTGGAAAATATTCCATGGTTTCAAAATGCCATCTTTTAAATGCAGCATACTGCTGATACATATCAAATATCTCTGAGGTTCCTTAAGTCCCCATTTTCATCTTACAAAATATACCTCTTTCCTCTATTTGACGGACAACAGGCAGCCTGGCGCTTGAGGAAGGTCCACAGAGGTCCGCTGTGGGCAAACAGCTCCTCCAGGGGCAGGTTACCGCAGCTTAGGTGTCGGCGGGCCGGGACAACATCCCAGCGGGCCCAAAAGCCCCGAAAAACATTCCAAAGTAACGGGGAGCGCGTAACTACAGCCAGTCCACCATGTCAGGCAAGACCCGGAAGTCTCCACTTTTCTATTTAAGGACCTGTGTGATTATGTTGGGCTCAGCTGCATAATTTAAGCTGATCTCCTTGTTTTCAGGTCTGCTGATTAGCAACCTTAATTCCATCTTGCTATGTAACATAACGTGTTCAGAGATTCTAGGGGTCAGGAAATGGACATTTTGGGGGCAGAGGCATTATTCTGCCTACCGTGATATTTGTGCTTGACTTTTCGAGATTTAAGTAAAATCAATATTGCCTTTTACCTTAATGTGGGCTCTTTGGAGAAATCTAGGATGTCCTTTTTTTACTGGCATTTCTTGTAAAGAAAGTGGTTTTGAACATTCTGTGATGCTTATGACATTTTATAACGAGAACCCCCTCCCCACCACGATTTATAGTTGTAAAATACGAATTTCACTCAAGATTAACTAGAAAAACATGCCCTAGACGGCAACTAGAGACCATGTGATCTATGAACATCAGTATATCAATATGTTAAAAAAGAAATCAGATTCAAATATTTTAAAAAGAAGAGTAATGGGTTACAAAATAATCTATCTTTGAAGAAGGGGCAGACAAATGCTTTTTAACATTTTTCTCAAGAGCCTGCTTTTAGCTCAAATTTGCCAAGTCTTTTTCTTTTCCCATCTGAAGATAGACGGGTCCACAGAACCCCTGCAGACACATTGTAGGCGGCTCTGTCTTCCAGGGACTTGGCAGAAGGTATTATAGGACTCATTTATACTGCAGAATAGTTATAACCTTCATGACTTTCACTTGGACAGATATGTGCACTAGCAAATAGTGATAGAAATGGGGCACTGGAAATGCATGTGATGGAGGGTGTGAACTTTCAATATTGAACTTTGACAAGTTACTATTTGGAAACTGAGACTACTTTTCAAATATATCACCTCTGACATAAGGGTGGGGCCAGTTCGGCATGGGCCAGTTTGGACCAGCATCGGGCAGTACAGAAATATATTTGTGGAAGGTGCTCCAGTAACATGATGAGAGAGGACTGTATTGCAGAAGCAAATGGGAAGTGTTTTCATCAATTTCCTAGTGAGAAAGGATTGGCAGTTAAAGCAGAATCCCTTTGAACCTCTGTGTGACTATTCACATCCAATAGTTATAGTTGCTTATTTATATAATATGATTAACTATTAACCAAGCTAAGTTTATCCTGTACTGTGAGTTTAATACTTAATGTTTAACATCTTAGCAAATCCTGAATTGAAACCTCCTCCCCAATACTGTTACAAGAACAATGTGTACTAGGTAGGACCCAGCCATGTTTCTAGTCACCACCCTACATGAAAATGGAAAGGCCTGGGAAACAGCACTCTAAGCCATTGAAATCATCCAGAACAAAATTTCCTTCAGTTTAAGTATGGTGGACATACCAAGGGTTATAATTCTTTAATCAACAGAAGAGAAGTTGTAAGAAAATTACCTGGGTAATCTAAGTATAAAGCCACCAATTTTTTGCTCATTTGTCTTTTATTCTAGGACAGTATGTTGTTTTGTTCTGATCTTGGATAACATTTTGGCTTTGCTTTGCATGTATTGTTAGAACCACATGCAATCAGCAAGATCATTAGAATTGCAAACATTTAGGAGTCACAGTTATGGATTGACTCCAGAAGTGGAATGCATCTACAGTAATGTACCCAAAAACTACCTGGCTACCTAAGAGGTGCTGCCTGGAGTTATACCCTTGGGACACCTGATTATTCAGGAACATGGACCAGGGGAGTGGTAGAGGAGGACACTGATATTCCACATTCCTGTGTCCTTTTTTCAAGGGGATTTGTAGGATGTGTTGTCTTTCAACAGTCTGGCTTTCATCCCCTTTTTTTCATGACCCTGCCTTAGAGAAGTTCACACTTCTAAGAAATGACTTTGATCCCTCCCAGGCTCCAAATGGAAACTTTTCAAGGCCATATTTACTATGAGGATATTTATCATGGAAGTTAAGTAACTTACACTTTAATTCAAGTGTCCTCTCGGCATTGAGAATAGGTTATTTTCTCTAGGAGGCCTGGGCAGTTTCCTGTTTTAAAGAAATTGAAAAGAAATATATTGCTTTTAGCCGCCCCAAAATCAATAGAGTTTCAAATATAGATGGGACCAAGTTTCTTGTGCTTCTTAGGAGGGCTGAAGGATGGTGCTGACCCAAAGCCCTGAGTGATCATAATACTTAGACGGAAGCCATTGAATGATTGTGGCACATGTCTTGCCATTCCAGACTCAGGTGATCAACCCTCATACACACCACAATAATGATGGCCTCCCATCCAACCATCTTTAGAAACTTCCTTACAGGATATATTTAGGATCAGACCATTTAAACATATATTCCTTTTTCTTTACCTTAGGAAAAAAAAATAGAGCCTCAGGGCATTGCCAGTCAGTGCTGTTTTGAATGGAATAACATGTATGATAACTAAATCTAGCCATAAGTTATTAAGTCCTTGATAGCAGCGTACCACTGTTTTTTTTTATCTTCCTATCTCCCTCAGCATCTAGTGGTGGCTTATACAGAAGGCTAGCTCAGTATATGCCTGTTAAATAAGTGAATCAAAAATTTTATATACCAGTGCTACAAAGAATGTCGACTTGTTTTTGGACTTAACATGTAGATGCTTCATGCTGGGAGAAGGACCTTGGCTCTTTTGTATAGTTTCTTTTTCTCTGCTGCAATTGCTTTTTATGTCGTTGAATTCTCTGAGCATATTTATTTACAGTGTTTGTCTGGGAACTCTAACATCCTCCCTTGTTATTCTCTTTCTATTTATTTTTTCCCGCTGCTTTTAATTCATGTTGTCTTGTCTCTGGCCTATCTACTTTTGTTTGCATTTTAAACATTGTATTTGAAAAATTGTTTGTGGAAATACTTTGACGCCCAAGATGATGCTATTTTCCTCCAGAGAAGATTCCTACTTGTTTCTGCCAGATGCTCAGAGGCACTAGCAGTTTTGATCACCTCTGTCCAATTTCAGGGCTTGAGGGGATTAGAAGATGACCTGCAGTTCCCAATGTAGTCCATGTACTTTCAGATCACATGAATTTTAGGGTGCAGACCTTTGAAGATCCAACCCTAAGTGAGGAAGAATGACTAATGCCCCCCCTGCCTGCCCTGACTTTCTTGGTGGATCCCAGATACCAGCATCTGTTCCTTTGGTTCCACCAGGTTGACTGAATTCTTACTTAGCTCTCAGCCCCCACTTGTCCCCTCCAGGACCATCAAACATTCCCAGGAATAGAGACTCTACCCACAGGTTTCATTTCTCAGGGTATCCATTCTCCCCTGGATCCTGTCCAGGTCTACTTTGTTAACATTATGAGGCCTTTGGGCAGACTGAAAAAATCTTTTGTTATATTTTTCTGGTGGTTCTTAGTGGGAGAGTGTATCCAGATTACCTGATCTGTTATCAGAAGCAGAAGTCCATCCATTTTATTTTTGCTTACTTTTATGTCTTTAAAAAATCCTTTACTTTTTGGTAATTTTATTTCTTGGTTTTTTTTTTTTTTTTGGTGACTATTCTGATAATTAGAAATGAAATGTTTATATATTTGTTTCGGTGGCTAGCTTTTTTAAAAAAAGTATTCATTTCTTTATTTTTGGCTATGCTGGGTCTTTGTTGCTGTGCACAGGCTTTCTCTGGTTGCACAAGCAGGAGCTACTCCCTAGTTCTGGGGCACAGGCTTCTCATTGCAGTGGCTTCTTTCGTTGTGGAGCATGGGCTCTAGAGCATGTGGACTTCAGCAGTTGCAGGACAAGGGCTCAGTAGTCGTGACTCCCAGGGTCTAGAGCACAGGCTCAGTACTTGTGGCATGTGGCTTAGTTGCCCTGCAGCAAGTAGGGAAGATGGGGTCTTCCCAGACCAAGGATCCAACCTGTATCTCCTGCATTGGCAAATGGATTCTTTACCACTGGACAAACAGGGAAGCCCTGGTGGCTAGCTTTATAATGTCATTAATGCTTTTACTCCTCTCATTTTTTAGAAACTATCTATTAATCTTTTAAACTATCTATGAATAATAGATAACAGTAATAGATAATAATAATCTATTAAACTATTAATCTTTGAGAAATGATACAATTAGTATACTTCCTTCTCACCTCACTCTACGACTTGATTTGAGTTAATTGTATCATACTTATTAGTATTTATCATGATACTGTTAAATGTATTTCTGTTATTTAATTTTTCAGTTTAAAACCATAGCATTTGGTATACAGCTCTTGAAAAGGTCAAAATAGGGACATCTCTGGTGACCCCATGGTTAGGGCTCTGTGCCTCCACTGCAGGGATACAGGTTTGATCCCTGATTGGGAAATTAAGATCTCAAAGGCAGCACAGCACAGCCAAAAAAAGGGAGATGGTAGAATATAAGTAATATGTATATAGAATGAAAGAAAAAGAATAGATTGGGAAAATGCTTTAAAGTAAAATATTACTTAAATGGCCAAATACATTTAATTCTCATAATGTGATAATGGATCTATCTATCTACTTCTACTTTTAGTTCTGTCAATTTTTAGTTGACATATTTTGAAGCTATGTTATTGGGTTCATATGGCTATAGACTTTTAATATCTTCCTGGTTCATTAAACCCTTTCTTCCTTTATTGTAAAAAAATCTTTCTTAATCTCAAATATTGCTTTTTGCTTTAAAATCTATCTTTCTGATATTAGTATGGCAGAACTAACTTTCTTTTGGTTATTGTGTGCATAGTATATCTTTT